TATATATATTTTTAAGATTTTATTTATTTATTTGAGAGAGAGAGAATGAGAGACAGAGAGCACGAGAGGGAAGAGGGTCAGAGGGAGAAGCAGACCCCTGCTGAGCAGGGAGCCCGATGCGGGACTCGATTCCGGGACTCCAGGATCATGACCTGAGCCGAAGGCAGTCACTTAACCAACTGAGCCACCCAGGCGCCCTCAAATATATATTTCTGAGTATACTTATGTATGGGTAGAGATAAGAGATAGATACACTCAGCACAGACATCTCTCTTAAGCCCCAGAGCCATATAGCCAACCAAAAGCCTCCTGGATAGCTCCACGAAGTTTAAACCACTACTATCTCAAAGAAAACCTGTTAAAAATTGAAGACATTATCTTCCTCTCATCTAGTATTCTTTATTTCTATTACTAGTACTACTAACACCTGATTGTCCAAGCAAGAAACTCTGGGATTATTCTTAATGTCTTTCAGTCAGAGACAACCAGGAACACATCTCTAGTTGGAGGTGAGTTTATAACTCACTTTAGGAAGAATGCACAGCATAGGGAACCATGGAACTCAGTACAAGAGCATTATAAAGAACCCATATAGGATTTGCTATTTGCGTGAGAGATTTGAGAGAGGGTCTAAGGAAGCAGAGGCCTATTCTAGATTGGATGCTGTCAGAAAGAGGGGGAATTTTATGATTGAGATCTCAACACATCTTACATGCAGGATGCACCATCCAGAGCAAGGATAATGCTATAATTGGTAAGAAGTAGCTGTTGCTCATTTCAACCGAAAGAAGGGGGTGTGTGGAATTTGGTGGATGGCACAGTGACCGCTTTTGTTTGTGCTTAGACAAAATTATGGAATGAACCTGTTTTGTCTCATGTTACTATGGCCTCAGAATAATCTTATGCCCGACAGGAAATAACATGGCCTACCTGTAAATGCCAGGCCAGCTTCTGAATGTCAGGAGCTGTCATTTCCCCCTTCCTCATTCATTACATTCATTACTAATATTCCCATATAAATTAGTTACCAAGTCCTATTAATTTTCTCACATATCTCTGGGCTCTGTCCTCTTCTCTCCATCTTCTTTGCTTCCTCTCTAACCCAGGTCATTGTCATTTGTCATCTGAATGACTACATCAGTCGCTGAACAGTTCACCCAACATTTCATCTCCCTCCTATTCCAGTCCATCAGCTCCCCTCCATCCTTTACCCACCATGATGTGGGTAAATACAGCACCCCTGCTTAAACTCTCCTTTGGTTACATTACGAGCTGTGTTGCTAATATTTAAGTGGTAAAATTAAAAATCAGTAAGGTTAGCAATGAAAATTAATTTTTTTCTTTTCTCCCTAAAATGAATCAAAAAAGATGGATGGGTGTATTTACATAAGGAATCAACTGAATATGGAGACTATTTTGATATTCTGATTCCCTATTAAGAAATTATGACTCGGGCGCCTGGGTGGCTCAGTTGGTTAAGCGACTGCCTTCGGCTCAGGTCATGATCCTGGAGTCCCGGGATCGAGTCCCGCATCGGGCTCCCTGCTCGGCAGGGAGTCTGCTTCTCCCTCTCCCACTCCCCGTTTGTGTTCCCTCTCTCGCTGTGTCTTTCTCTGTCAAAAAAATAAATAAAATCTTAAAAAAAAAAAAATTATGACTCAATGTGAATCAACAGAGTGACAGGACTGCTAAAAAACTTACTGCATTATTGGCACCATTAGCAGAAGTGTATTTATTGTCCAGAACAAGAAATTTATGTGCAATTCAGTTCTGGGTAATACATTTTAAGAAAGACATTATTAAAAGAATATGTCCAGGGGCGCCTGGGTGGCTCAGTCGTTAAGCGTCTAACTTCGGCTCGGGTCATGATCCTGGGGTCCCGGGATCGAGTCCCACATCGGGTTCCCTGCTCGGCGGGAGGCCTGCTTCTCCCTCTCCCACTTCCCCTGCTTGTGTTCCTGCTCTCGCTGTCTCTCTCTGTCAAATAAATAAAATCTTTAAAAAAAAAAAAAGAATATGTCCAGAAGAGGGCAACCAGGACAAGGAGGTTCTGGAAACCATGTCATATCCAATTAGAACAAGTGAGGCTTACAGAAAAATAACGGGGGATATGACAAGTGTTTGCAAATATCCAAAGAGCTGTCATATGCAGAAGGGAGTAGATTTATTTTGTACAGTTCCAGAAGTAGGATCAAGTCTGAAGACTACGAATCAGAGGAAGATTGATTTCTACTCAATCTAAGAAAACATCTTCTAATAATCAGAACAGTCCAATAATGAGTTGGCTTCCTGGAAAGGTAATGAACTCCTAGTTACTAGAAGAGTTCAAGCCAAGCCAAAGCTGAATAATGGTCTGGAAAGTATATGGTAAAACAGGAGTTGTCAAATCTTCTGTTGAAGGGGATAGTTCTATAATCTGGTGTGGTGTGATACTCTTATAAATTACAAAAACAAAAACAAAAACAAACAAACCCTAAATTAGTAGAAATGAAAAAAGTTAAAAGTACAGGCTTATATTTTTTACTATCTGATTCAATGAACATTAAATTTCAGCAACTAGAATTTGAACAAACATAAAAGGGAAAAAGTGATAAAACTTGCTCACTGAAAATGCGCATTTAAGATTAGAGAATTTCTAGAATTTCTAGAACTGAAGAAAATTATGAGTGTATTGTAATTCTCTAGACTAGACCATTACGTACACACTTTGAATAAATATCTTGCGTATTAATATTTTTAAGTTTTTAACATGACAGATTAGCTAGTTTCTTATTAAAATATCTAATCCAGGGCGCCTGCATGGCTCAGTTGTTAAGCATCTGCTTTCGGCTCAGGTCATGATCCCAGGGTCCTGGGATTGAGCCCCCCCTGCTCTGCAGGAAGCCTGCTTTTTCCTCTTCTACCCCCCCACCCCGCCCCTGCTTGTGTTCCCTCCCTTGCTGTGTCTCTCTCTGTCAAATAAATAAATAAAATCTTAAAAAAATAATAATAAAATATCTAATCCAGGTTGGACTGACAATACTACTTTCAGGGAATGATGCATATCTAAACTGCTTCTGTGTGTTGCTTTAATATTATTCATAAGAAATAACTATATTTACAAAGGGATGATGATGATGAAAATGGAAAAAAGAGATTTTAAAATAATTTCCACATGCTCGGACTATTCATTTTTAACTTTGTCCAAAATGAAGCGAGTGATGCTGTATTTTCAAAATTCATTTTCAATTCTTCACTAGTTGCCAGTTTATAATTAAATTCAAATCATTTTTTTATGAAATAAATGGATTCCAGATCCATGAATTGGCTGTATCTGGACATTCTTTTAGTGGAAAATAAAATTCAAAGCATCCTATCAAATTCATAATGGTTTGATAACTTTTTTGCAGATGTGCAACATCAAGATAATCACCTTCACTGGGAATTGTTGTTAAATTATGGAACATGTAAGTCTATAGAAACCCTATTCTTTCAAGCTTCTACCTTTTGTTGTGCCCTTCAATTTGATCTGCCATTGAAAAACATGTTGCGGGGCGTCTGGGTGGCTCAGTTGTTGAGCGTCTGCCTTCAGCTCAGGTCATGATCCCAGGGTCCTGGGATTGAGCCCCACATCGGGCTCCCTTCTCCGCGGGAAGCCTGCTTCTCCCTCCCACTCCCCCTGCTTGTATTCCCTCTCTCGCTGTGTCTCTGTCAAATAAATAAATAAAATCTTAAAAAAAAAATTAATAAAACAACCTGAATGTTTAAAGAAGACATTGGTTGGTTCTGCCATGAGGTGATCTTGGGCAAATTTACTGAATCTCTGTTCCCCTCTCTGTAAAATCAAAGTATGTACCCAAAAATCATCTTGAAGGTGTCTTTCGGGTCTACTATTCTATCTTCCACAATCCTACTGATGGTAGTTATAGCTGGGTGGCAATGATGAAAAGGGCCAATGGGATTAATTAAAATTGCCATACTGACCACGTTATTAACCACAAACTATGCTCTAATTCAAGACAAGTTAAAGAAAGTGATTCATTAGTAATTCAATGTGCTTTGGATTATGGAGAAGGAAGAAGTGAATTCTGACTAGAAGGGAAAGGAGAAAAGGTCTGGGCAAGATATTTTGTCAATCAGGAATGAGGTCTCATCTTTGAATACACTGTGGCTTGAACTCTAGGTGCTTAATAAAATTTGCTGAAATAATTAAATGCCTGGAGAGAACATTAGAAAATATAATATTGCTGAATTAAAGACTGACTCAAGATTCTACTTGCAATATCCAGATGTAATTGTGGAACTCTGCCTCAGTTTCTCCATCTAAAAATGTACTAATTTACAAGCAATATTGTAAGAATTTAGGCAATCACAACTGCGAAGCATTTTAGGTTCCTACAGGAAGATGCTATATAAATATGAGGTGATGTTACTAAATCAAAGCAGATGCCTTTGTACAAAACTAGAAAGCACATTACATATTCTTCCTGAGCATTTCTTCCTGATGTGTTAAAATATCTTTTCTTTCAAAAGGTTACACAGCACATTAGAAAATAGTTGGGGGTAGTGGCCGAATTGTAATTGGGACAATACTTACAAATTATTTTGCTAAGAATATTAGCAAGTCATTTTGAACTTCTGAGAAAAAAAATCTAAGAAATCATTCCCTTTGACTATAAGCCATGGAGACATTTATTTATGCCTCCAGCAAATAAAATAATTTGCTAACCTCTTGTGTTTATGTGCTGATATTCAAGTTAACTCATTTCTGGAAATTGAAAAATACACATCTGAAACTGGAAAAATATTCCTTAAGTCAGGGTTTGTTCACATTGCTAGAGCCTTCCAAAATGAAGGCATATGATGTCTTGTTTTCTTCTGTTCTTAAAAAAATGTTTGGAATCTAACTAAGGTTGCTTTCTTAGAATATGTGGAAACCACACTTTCTATCTTGTATATCAATACCAGTACTAATATTATTATGTACTTAGCTGCACGCAAGTAAGAACTAAGGTATGATGTATTTTGAAATAGCCTTTAATGAACTGAAAAACCACAGATTCTATTCCCAGGAAAACACACAAGATACATATTCTCAAAAATTCTACACAACTTCAGGAGTTTCATAGATACCCCGCAACCCCTAATCCCATTCATGAAATGAGAGGGCTTTAATCCTCTGCATTATAGCAATTCTTTTATAAAATCATATGTCTGTGGTACAATGAATGTACCAGCCCATATTAAGCACTGGGGACACAGTGGTATACATAGCCAGTCAGGGACCTTGCAAGTTAGAGTTTACAGTCCAGTAGATAAGATGGATATTTATCAAATAATCATACACACACAAATGCTTAATTAAAAACTTTGATTAAGTGCTCTGGAGTTAAGAACTATATCTAACTTCCTTCAGATACCATGGGGGCAAGAAGAGAATGGAAAGAAATATTTAAAGCATTGAGAGCAAAAAAAACCCTACCAACCTAGAATTCTCTACCCTGCAATATTATCCTTCAAAAGTGAGGGAGAAATAAAAACTTTCTCAAACAAAAATTTAAAGAATTTGTTGTCACTAGACCTGTCTTGCAAAAAAATATTAAAAGTAGTTCTTTAGAGGAAAAGAAAATGATACAGGTCAGAAACTCAGATCTACACAGAGAAAAAGCAATGAAGAAGAAACAAGTGCAGGTAAAACACAAACTTTAACTTTTCTTATTCTTCACTGATCTAACATTAACAGTTTGTTTAAAAAATAGCAACAGGGGCACTGGGCTGCTCAGTTGGTGGAGCCTGCAATTCTTGATCTTGGCATTGTGAGTTCGAGCCCCATGTTGGGTGTAGAGATTACTTAAAAATAAAAAATTATTTTTAAAAAATAGCAGCAGTGTATCTGATTATATGTATATATGCTTATGTATGAGAAATGAATGACAGGAATGATACAAGAGACAGGAGGGAGGAATTAGGATTATTTTGTTATTATAAAGTACTTGTACTGCCCATGATACAATATAGTGTTACTTGAAAGTGGACTTGGCTTAGTTGCAAATGTATATATGCAACCACTCTAGGGCAACCACTAAAAAAGATTAAAAAAAAATAAGTGTATTACAACAGGGCCTGGCATGTAGGGAAGGCCTTAAGGAAAAAAAAAAAAAAAAGAATAACAGATGTGCTAAGAAAGGAGAGGAAACAGAATCATATAATCAAAACCACAAAAGGCAGAAAAAGAGTAAAACACAAAAATAGAAACAAAGAACAAGGGCAACAAACAGAAAACAGTAGCAAATATAGTGGATAATAACCCAACTATATCAATAATCACTTTGAATGTCAATGGTCCCAATGCATCAATTAGAAGACAGAGATTGTTAGAGTAGATTAAAAACAAGACTTAATTCTTTGTTGTCTGTAAGAAACCCACTTAAAATGGAAAAACACACATAGATTAAAAATAAAGGGAGAGAGAGGGGCACCTGGGTGGCTCAGTCGTTAAGCATCTGCCTTCGGCTCAGGTCATGATCCCAGGGTCCTGGGATAGAGCCCCACATCGGACTCTCTGATCAGGGGGAAGCCTGCTTCTCCCTCTCCCACTCCCCCTGCTTGTGTTCCCTCACTCGCTATCTGTCAAAATAAATAAATAAAATCTTTTTAAAAATAAGTAAAGGGAGAGAGAGAAAGATATACTATACTAATACTACTCAAAAGAAAGCAGGAGTAGCTATATTAATTTCAGACAGAGCAAGCTTCAGAGCAAGGAACCCTATCAGGGAAAAGAAGGGCATTACATAATGATAAAAGGGTAATTTTTCTAGAAGACATAACAACCGTTAATGTGTATGCACCTAACAACAGAATGTCAAAATATGTGAGGCAAAAACTGATAAAACTGCAAGGAGAAATAGATGAATGCAGTACTGTAATTGCAAACTTTAATCCGCTCTATCAGAAATGGACAGATCCAGCAGGCAGGAAATCAGTAAGGACATAGCTAAACTCAACAACACCATCAGTCAACTAGATATAACGGACATCTAGAGATTACCTCAACCAACAACAGTAGAATATATATTCTTCTCAAGTTCACATGGAACATTCACTAATATAGACCACATTCCTGGCCATATAAGACAACTTACCAAACTTAAAATAGAAATCACACAATGTCTGCTCTCAGACCACAATGGGATTAAACTAGAAATCATTTACAGAAAGACAGCTGGAAAATCCCAAATACCTGAAGATTAAATAACACACTGCTAAATAACACGAGTCAAAGAAGAAATATCAAGAGAAATTAAACAGTATTTTGCACTAAATGAAAATAAAATAAAACTTATCAAAATTTGTGGGATGCAGTGCAAGCCATGCTTAAAGGGAAGATTTTTTTTTTTTAAAGGTTTTATTTATTCATTTGAGACACAGAGATACAGAGAGAGAGAGAGCATGAGCAGTGGGAGAGGCAGAGGGAGAAGCAGCAGACTCCCCGCGGAGTCAGGAGCCCGATGTGGGGCTGAATCCCAAGACCCTGGGATCATGACCTGAGCCGAAGGCAGACGCATAACCATCTGAGCCACCCAGGCGACTATATGGGTTAGATCCAGAGAAATATCTAAAATTAACCATCTAAGTTTCCACCTTAGGGAACTAGAAAAAGAAGAGCAAATTAAATCCAAAGTAAGCAGAAAAAAAGAAATAATAAGAATTAGAGTAGAAATCAATGAAAATGAAAACAGGAAATCAACAGAAAAAATTGATAAAACCGAAAGCTGGTTCTTTGTAAAGATAAATAAAAAATAATAAGCCACTAGCCAGGCTAAGAAAAAAAGAGACACAAATTGCTGATACTACAATTCCCATGGATAACTCTATACCACAGATAATTTAGATGAAGTGGACCAATTCTATGAAAGACACAATCTGGCAAAATTCACACAAGATATAGACTACTTAAATAAGCCTGTATCTATTAAAGAAATTGCATTGGGACAACTGGGTGGTTTAGTCAGTTAAGCATCTGCCTTTGGCTCAGGTCATGATCCCAGGGTCCCACATCAGGCTCTTTGCTAGCCTGCATCAGGATCCTTCTCCCTCTGCCTGCCGCTCCCCCTGCTTGTGCTTGCGCGCTCTCTCTCTCTGTCAAATAAAGTCAGTCAGTCAGTCAGTCAGTCAGTCAATAAATAAATAAATAAATAAATAAATAAATAAATAAATAAATAAATAAGGAAATTGTATCAGTAATAACCTTCCACAGAACATAAAGCACCAAGCCCAGATGTGAATTCTACCAAACATTTAAGGGAGCAATAATACCAATTCTCTACTATCTTTTACAGAACACAGAGCAGAGGGAATACTTCCTAACTCATTTCATGAGGCCAACATTACCCTAATACCAAAACCAAAGACATTACCAGAAGAGAAAACTACAAGCCAATACCTAAGTAAAATGAATATAGATGCAAAAATCCTCAACAAAGTATTAGCAAATCAAATTTAAAAAAAGTATAAAAGAGAATTATGCACCATGATCAAATGGGATTTATGCCAGGTATGTAAGGCTTGTTCAACTTTCAAAAATCAATTAATATAATCCTCCAGTATTGAAGAAGACTGACACTATCTTATTTCAACTCTTACTATAAAGCTACAATTTTCAAGAGATTGTGGTACTACTGAACTAATAGACAAAATATTTCAAAAGAATAGAACAGGGGAGCCTAAAAAATAGAGCCACACAAAAATAGTCAATGTATTTTTGATGAAGGAGTAAATGCAATACAATGAAGCAAAGACAGTCTTTTCAACAAATGGAGCTGGAACAACCACACATCCACGTGCAAAAAAAAAGAATCTAGGCACAGACCTTATATCCTTCCTAAAAATTAACTCAAAATGGACCACACACACACACAAAGATCACAGACCTAAATGTAAAATGCAAAACTATAAAATATAAAACTTTCAGAACATAGGAGAAAATTTAGATGATCTTGGGTTTGGTGATAACTTTTTAGATACAATATCAAAGGCATGATCCGTGAAAGAAAAAACTGATAAACTAGACTTAAGGAAAATTAAAAATTTCTTCTCTGTGAAAAGACACTGTGAAGAGAATGAAAAGGCAAGCCACAGAGTGGGAGAAAATATATGTAAGACACCTATCTAATAAAAGACTGATATATAAAATATACAAAAAGACTCTTAAAACTCAACAATAAGAAAACAACTAACCCAATTAAAAAATGGACCAAAGACCTTAACAACAGACACTTCACCAAAGAAGATATACAGATGGCAAATAAGCATATGAAAAGATGCTCTACAGGCAATATATCAAAGAAATGCAAATTAAAACAATTAAGATACCACTACACACCTATTAGAATGGCCAACATCTAAAAACACTGACATCACCAAATGCTGGTGAAGATATGGAGCAATGGAAACTCTTATTCACTGTTGGAGGGAATGTAGAATGCTCCAGCCATTTTGGAAGCAACCTGGGCAGTTTCTTACAAAACTAAACATATTCTTACCTTACAATCCAGTAATCATGCTCCTTGGCATTTACTCAAAGGAGCTGAAAACTTATGTCCACATACCTGTGCACAGATGTTTATAGCAGCTTTATTTACAATTCCCAAATTTGGGAGGAACCAATATACCCTTCAATATATGAATATATACCCTTCAGTAGGTGAATGGATAAAGTGTGGTATATCCAGACAATGGAATATTTTTCAGCACTAAAAAGAAATTAGCTATCAAGATATGAAAAGACATACTAGTAAGTGAAAGAAACCAATCTAAAAATGCTACATTCTGTATGATTCTAACATATAACATTATGGAAAAGGCAAAACTATGAAGACAAGAAAGATCAGAAACCTCTGATCTGGAATTAGGAAGGAAAAGAAAATGAATAGGCAGACACCAGTTTTAGGGGTTTTTAAGGCAATGAAACTATGCTATAGATACTGTAATGGTAGACATATGCCATTCTGTATTTGTCAAAACCCAAAGAATGCACAACACCAAGAGTGAACCCTAATGTGAACTATGAACTCTGGGTGATGATGTGTCAATATAGGTACATCAACTGTAACGAATGTATTATCCTGGTGGGTGATATTGATAAGGGGGAAGCTATGCATGTGTGGGGATATGGGAAATATCTGTACCTTCCATTTAATTTTGCTGTGAACCTAAAACTGTTCTAAAAAATAAAGTCTTTTACTTTTTTTTTTTTTAAGATGTATTTGTTTGGGGGGGGGCGGGCAGAAGGAGAGGGAGAGAATCTGCACTGAGCACAGACCCTGAGATTATGACCTGAGCTGAAAGCAAGTCAGACATTTAACCAACTGCACCATTCAGGTGCCCCTAAAAATAAAGTCTCTTAGAAAAAAGGAAAAGTATCCAGCAGGATGTTAATAACAGCATTATTTATAATAGGGGACAAACAGAAAAAATGATTATGTCTAAAAGTAGGGAATTAATTATAACAATCAGATTATACAATACTATGCATTTGTTACATGAGAGTATTTAATGATATGGCAAAAAAATCAATTATATTAAATGAAAAAAAGCAAGTTATAAAATAGCATGCATAATTAATACTACTTTTATTTTCTGAAATATAGTTATGCAGTGAAGTAAAATGGAAGAAGGAAAGCAAAAATTTTAGTGTTATCTTTACAAGGGACAATTATGGGTAATTTCTATTTTCTATTTATCTATTTTTTAATTAAAAAATAATGCATTATGTTCATGGTTAAGAAAAATCATTATAAAAATTAAGTACCTCAGTAGATCCTAGTAAAGTAGACACAATCATCCTTAGAAGGGACCATTTTTTTGCTATTGGGTTAGCAAAAAGTATAATGCCTCTTCGTATGTTTTACGGGTTTGGTAAATGCTTTACAACTAGATCAACAGAATAAATAATGAGTTCACTACTGCCATTTTTTCTACTAGTCATTCTTACCTAAAGAACATCCAAATATTCTTTGGTAATTAAGCACTTTAAGTTACTACCTTTGGGTGAGCAACGTTTGAATTGAACACTATGTGAGAGTGCCCTCTGGTGGTTTCACTGATAGTGCTTTTTATCAGCCTAACCTGTTGATCCACCTCACCAATGGACACATGAGAACTGGGTAGTTAAAAAAAAAAAACTGGGTAGTGAATTTTTCATGAAGCTAAATTAATTCCATTTAAAGGACCGTCCCACCTTATGTAGTTTTTAAGTTTCAGGGAAAAAGGAGACAAAAAAGTGGACATTTAATAAAATGTTAGTGATAGCAGATAAGTACCCCTGGGGTAGTAGGGAATGGAAGGAGCAGAAAGGAGGTGATGGTGGTGATAGAATATGTACTTACTTAGCAAAACTAAATAACAGCAATCCATGAAAACCAAAATTCCAGCAACTACAGTATTGATCTGTATTTCTAATACAGTAAGATTGAAGTTAATTCTCCAAAGCTTTGACATGCGGATGTGTGGTTTAAGAATCCTACAGTTGAACAATCTCCATTTAGTTCATCTTTGTACTTAGAAAAAAATTTTTTATTTAATTCAATTCTTTATTCTCCCTACTTTTAAAATGTGGCATATCTTAATCTTTATAAAAATTAGGATATAAATCAACCTGAAAAAAATTTAACCATTTTTCAATGTCATTAAACATGTCTGGTAAAACTTTCTGATTACTAAGTTCTATCAACTTGTTTTTCTTTAATCTTTCCCCCCCAATATATTAATGAAAAAGTAAGCCACTAAAAGACATTTCGTTTTGATAACAGAGGGTGGCCATTATTAATTATTTCCCTTACTCTTCCCTATTTATTATTCCATAGATTCTACTAAAAAACCTTCAGCTAGAGTTCCTTTATTAAAAGAACTAGATTCAACAACAGACTTTAAATGAAGTTTCATTTCAGTGAATTTCATTTCAATTTCCCTTCACTGAAATCATCTTTCACATCAAATTTTAAAATACCACAAATATTTTACAAGTTTGAATAAAACATTTCTCCACCTTCTTAAGAGATTCCTCACCTCCTAAATAGAAATCACAGGGGCAGTAATGCCATCAAGGATCACATATAAAGTGGTAGTGACAATCAACAGCAGAATAATCTATTAACGTTCTCATAACACTAGTTTAGTGATATTAACATTTTAACCAGAGCTGCATGTGTTCTGAAGCTAGCATAATTTTTTAAAGAGCCAGTAAAAAAAAAATCTCAAAACAAATTTATAATTTGTAAGCAAAATGTACTTTCTTTCTAGGAAAGTATATTCTTGGGTGAAAGAGAATACCCCTTTGTCACTGTAATGCACTGTAAAAAAGCTTTGGGGCCTGACCATTTGGATTTTTGGCTCTCCCACTTGCTAAGTAGATAGGGTTCAAGTCACTTGGCCCTACCCATAAAATGGGGATGATGCTCTATCTTTAAAGGATTATTGTGAGAATTTAATAATGATGTATATAAAGGACCCAGCAGACGGAACTAATTAAAATGTACCTACAGTTGACCCTTGATCAACAAGGGAGTTAGAGATACCAACCTGCCATGCAGTCAAAAGTCCATCTATAACTTTGACTCCCCCAAAACTTAATTACTAATGGCCTACTGTTGACTGGTAGCCTTACTAATAACATAGTCAGTTAACATATATTTTACATGTTATATGTATTTTATATTGTATTCTTACAATAAAGCTAGGGAGAAGAAAATGTTACTAAGAAAATCATAAGAAAGAGAAAATACATTTACAGTACTGGACTATATTTATTTAAAAAAAAAAATCTGTGTATAAATGGACCCACACGATTCAAACTGGAGTTGTTCAAGGGTCAACCGTAATTTAATTATTTCCTAGAAGCCACAAGAAAGAATTGTAACGTTTATTTTCTGGGTGGACCTCATGAGTTTCTTTTCAAAAGCAATTTAAAAATCTCCTTGAGAAGGAGAGCCATGCATATTTCTATTAATACTAACAATATTTGGCTGATAATGTAAAAATAATCACACTAGACACATAAAAATAAATGGTAGATCTTAATATCTCAAAAGCAAAGTAAGATGAAGTAGGTTTCTGTAAGTAAGAATGTCAAATCCACAATTCCCTAATTTATATAAAGAAATATACATGCTAATACATGAAGACATTTTATTATTTTGCTATATAACATATTAGTAAATATACTCAATTGCATTTTCTCAAATGGCAAATGAGACACAAGATAACATCTTTTTAATTCCTGAAAACCTCAGTATCATCTGTCTTTTGGAGGATCCAGTTTCCTACGACGTCTATGATACCTTGAAAAGAAGAAAATATTTAAGATATTATTTTATTAAATATTAACTGTTCCTGAAATATCAAATTTCTGTTAGTTTGTTGTTCATTAGTACTCAATGAAATCAATGAAACCTAATATAATGTTAGATATATCCAAGATAAATATTTAAATTTTTCTTAATAAGAAGCCATATTTCCCCACTGTGAAAATTGTTTTCTACTAAATAAGCATTTTGGAAAGGTTTTTTTGCCACTCTTGAGGTTAATTTCAATATGGTAACCTGGATAATTCATCCTTAATTAAAAATTAGTAATTGTCTTGGGGTGTCTGGGTGGCTCAGTTAAGTGTCTGCCTTCGGCTCCGGTCATGATCCCAGGGTCCTGGGATCGAGCTCCACATCGGGCTCCCTGCTCAGGGGGGAGCCTGCTTCTCCCTCTTCATCTGCCCCTCCTCCCACCTCATATTTGCTCTCTCTCAAATAAATAAAAAATAAAATCTTTAAAAAAACAAAAAAGCAAACTAATAATTGTCTTTTGAACATGCTCTAAGTTTTATTTATAAGGGGATGTTCCCCCCTAAATGGAGGTCTCTTAAGCTGCAAAATCATGTTCTAATATACAATAGGATACGATTAATGTTTATAGAAAATGTATGTCACAAAAATGTTAAGAAGTGCAAATTAAAACAGTGACGAACTTTTGTTTTTGCAATCACAAATATTTTAAAAATCATAAGGCCCAACCCAAGCACAGGTGTGATGAAATAAGCAACATCAGACCCAACCTGTTAAAGTATTAACTGGTACAATACTTATGAAAAGCAGTGTGGCAATATATATAAAAAAATTTTTTAAATAGTCATAGCTTTTGATCTAGTAATTCCTCTTCTGGAAATCTAGTCTAAAGCATATAGAAAAACAGTTAAAATACTATTTTAATACCAAAATATTAAATATTAATCAGGGAGGGGCAGATGCAGGATGCAAATTTATATATACAGTATGATTAAAGCCATGTAAAAATACACAAGCTAACAAAACTTATGAAATATATAAAAAGAGAAATGAAATGCATTGTTAGCAGTGATTGACTTTGAGTGATTTCACCAGGGAGAATTTTTCTTTTTGCTTCTTTGCATTTCCTTATCCACAGAAAGTACATGTGTTTATGGTAATGAGTTCTCTTCAAAAATTCCCTTAAGACCAGATTTTGGCAAGTTGGTCTTTTATCTACTTTTTTGCTAATATGGAAATCCAATGTAAGGATTTCTACACCATAAATGGTAAGACACGTATCTTATGCTCTTTACTTGTGATTAAGATATTGAAAGCATTCTTTTTTGCTTATCTTATGGTTTCATACAGGCAACTCTCCTATACATTGTTTTTTGATACCGATTTTTTGAAAATTACAAAACTAAGTTGAAATAATGAAGTACATCTATATACAATAACACAGAACATTAAGTTGTAGAATAATACATATAGCATAATATAATTTATGTAAACTTTTCTACAAGTACTTATACTGGCATAGAAAAATTATGGAAAATTATCATTTTCTTAAGGGTTCCAGTTACGTGCCAGATAATCAAGGTTTTACTAGTACAACCCTGAAAGGTGTCCTCTTAAAGCAACTAATCACCAGAATAGGGGTTTGGGAAGTCACACTCTCTTTTTTTTTCAAGATTTTATTTATTTATGGGGAGAGAGAGAGCGAGCACATGCACATGAGTGGAGGGGAGCGGCAGGCAGAGTGAGAGGGAAAGCAGACACCCTGTGGAGCAGGGAGCCGGACAAAGGGCTCTATCCCAGCACCCTGAGATCATGACCCGAGCCAAAGGCAGACACTTAACAGACTGTGCCACTCAGGCGCCCTGGGGAAGTCACACTTTCTTACGATGCACAAATTTCAATATCTGCTACAATCACTAGCCAGGGGCAAGCACCTTAATTATAGGGTGCCCTTAAAACTTATCAGACTCGGACCCTTGAGAGAATTAAAAACCCACTCTATTAATAATTAACAAGAGAGTTAAACCAAGACTATTCCTGGAAAACCAAGACACACTGTTACCCTTCTTAAATAACACAATGACTCAGTGACATCTAAGTCCACAGTTCTTAACCCAGAGCAGAACTTTTATCTCCTGGTTCACACTGCAGCCTGATGTTCAGATCTGTTTCCTACTGATGGGAGTAACTAATTTTTGTGGCCTCCATGGAAAAATAATAAATAGTTATTTAAATAAAAGAGTACTGCTATTCATACATTTATAGGATCGCTCTACATTTTAAGAAATTTAAAATTATTTTCCAAATCCTTCTTACTTTCCATCAGGCCTTCTTTCAATCCCTTCCATCCTTCTTTCCTTCAACATAACTTTGTATGTAGTAGAGCTATGTTAGCTTACTATCTTCTTTTTAAAGAGGTATTATGACAATCAGGATCATTTACCCATTCATTTATTAATTTTTAGACGTATGAGCATCTACTACATGCCAGCGATGACTACTGGGTGCTAAGAATTCTGTAGTACACAAAACAAGACAAAATCTCCACCCTCATGAAGCTTACATTCCAGTGCAGGAAACAGGAAAGCAAGTAAGTTGGCCAGGGAAGGTTTCAGGGAGTAAAAATCCAAAGGAAGTGAGAAAGCTAGGTTTGCTGATACTAGCAGGAAGAGAATTCTATGTAGTGTGAACAGCAAGTAAAAGGGCTCTGAAGGAAAGGCATGTTCAAGGAATGGCCAAGAGGCCATGTGGCTGGAACAGAGTAAACAAGGAAGAGAACAATAGGAAATGAGAGTGGAGAGGTAATGGAGGATCAGATCACACAGGTTCTTATAGGTAACAGTTAAGGCCTTTAGCTTTTTTCTGAGTAAGACGGGAAACTATTAGAAGGTTTTCAACAGAACAATTATAAGAACTAAGGGAAGTTTTAACAATGTTACTCTGGCAACTTGCTAAGAACAGACTATAGAGAAGTAAAGCAGAAGGAGGGAGACCAGTTAGGAAGTAACTTCAATAAATCAGGCAAAAGATGGTGGCATGGACCAGGATGGTGGCAAAAGCAATGGTGATAACTGGTCAAATGTGGATATATTTTGGGAGACAGAGCTAATAGGATTTGCTGACAGATCAGATGTTGGGTGTAAGACAAAGAGAAGAGTCAAGAATGGCACCAAAGTTTCTGGCCCAAGCCACCAGAAGAATGGAGCTAGCATTAACTGAGATAGGGAAGGCTATAGGAGAAGCTGGTTTGTGGGAGACCATCAGAAGCTCAGTTAGAGACAATATTAAGTTAGGGATGCCTATTAGACATGTCAAGTAGGCAGCTGGAAGGATATACAGTTCTGGAGGTCAGGGGACAGGTCTTGACCAGAGACAGAATTGGGAGCCATTAGCATGCAGAAGGTATTTAAAGCCATGAGACTGGATGAAATCACTGTCTTAGAAAACGGGACAGGAAGGAGCAGACAACCGAAGACTGATCCTTGAGCACTCCAAAACTTAGAGGTAAAAAAGATGAAAAGGAATCAGTAGAAGAAACCAAGATAGTATATGAACTATGGATATGTAAAAAGGGTTTCAATGGTTATTAAGGTTGAATTAAGGAGAAAAATAACAGAAAACCCACACACAACCATTAGGGACTGTAATATTGCTAAAATGACGTGTTCTGGAAAGAATTATAATGGAAAGAATGCACCATCACTTTTGATTTTTTTCATGCCAACTGAGGAAGACTGAAGAAAGGAAAAACAGCTTGTACATAAATACTAGCAACTAAGGGCACTGACATACTTGCTTTCTGAGTACTGGCGACCCTAAAGGCCAACAGGAAGATACCTCAGGGGCTGCTGGGGAGGGCAAAACTCATAATCATGTCCTCAGCAACTATTTACAAAGGGGCTATCTAACACAAACTGCTGTTGGGAATATGAAAAAAATGGATTTGCATAAGGGGCACCTTTCAAAGAGTATGCTCCAGGTTCCATGACTTCCGGTAAATATAATGTAATGGCTAAGCTAGTTTAATTTGTTTTCATACCCATAATATCAAAACAGGAAGTAGCAGGAGCTGCATGGTTACATATGTTATCTTTTGAAATCAACCTCTGCACAAATGAATGTAAAAATAGTCATTAGGGCAAAGGCAGAGAGTAAGGAACTAAAAGTTCAATTTAACCCCAAACCCAATGTCCTGGATTTCCTCATCACCCACCTCCCATATTAAAAATTCAAAACAGCCCTAGCACCCACTCTCAGCATAAAGCCCAAAACTAAGAATCTCTGAACTGCCATCCCAAAGTAAATAAAATCACCAGGGTTAGGAAAAGGCAAAAGGCAATTCACAAATTTAGTAGTAACAATATTAACTTTAGACTTCCAGACTTGAGATTATCTAATCACCAATGTTTATTGGCCACTGGGCTATTTCATAGCATCAGTTTTGTACAGTCATGCTACCTACCCTTCCAGCCCACCCACTCTGGGCGAAGTCAATAATTAAATGCATGTAGGTTCAGGACTGAATGAAGTGAGGCAACACCTTGGGATCATGAAACTCACTTTGCTGACCTTGATTAAGAATTTGATAATAAGGAACATCCTACTCTACCTGAGACTCTCCTAAATAAAATGGGAATTGAATAAACCCACATAATTTGATAGCTAAACTCTGGGAATAAAACTTCTAAGAATCACTGAGAAATTTACCAGTGGACCACCCCCAAAACTAGCATAAATAAAGTACCATTTCAAAGAAAAACTGAGAGGCACTTGGGTGGCTCAGTTGGTTAAGCGTCTGCCTTCGGCTCAGGTCATGATCCCAGGGTCCTGGGATCAAGCCCCGCATCGGGCTCCCTGCTCTGCAGGAAGCCTGCTTCTCCCTCTCCCACTCCCCCTGCTTGTGTTCCCTCTCTCACTATCAAATAAATAATAAATAAAATCTTAAAAAAAAAAAAAAAGAAAAACTGAACACCTTCAAGAAGCTGTGAATATGGGCGCCTGGGTGGCTCAGTTGGTTGAGCAACTGCCTTCGGCTCAGGTCGTGATCCTGGAGTCCCTGGATCGAGTCCCACATCGGGCTTCCTGCTCGGCAGGGAGTGTGCTTCTCCCTCTGACCCTCCCCCCTCTCATGTGCTCTCTCTCAAATAAATAAAACCTTTAAAAAAAAAAAAAAGAAAAGAAGCTGTGAAGATAATTAGGTAAGATAATATTTCATCAGACAGCAACTGAGCAAGCACTCACACACTGTATTAAGAATACTGTATTAGAGATCACGTGGAAAAGTACAAAACAAAAGATGCATTCCTGATGAAGAGAGAATAATCTAGAGCAGGAGATGTAAACAAAAATTTACCCACAAATATAAATATAACATTAACAGATATCTAGCCACCTATAGTTATATATAGTTGGGCTAACAGGGGTAACAGCTATTCAAAATGACTATAATCAAATTAAATTTCATGAAGAAAAGTGAGCTAAAGGCAAATGACAGAAAAATGAAAGTACTGAAAATCAAAGGAAACAGCATTTAAGACGGCTTAATACTGAAATGAAAAGTAAAACTGGACAAAAAAGCAAAATCCAACTATATTCTACTTCTAAGAAACCCACCTGAAATATAAAGACACAGATAAGTTAAAAGTAACAGAAACAGAAAGATCATGTAAACACTAGTCAAAAGAAGCCTGGAGGGGCTATATAAATACTAGACAAATTATGTTTCAGGATATGAAATATTAGCAGCAATAAAAAGAAGACTTCAGGGGCGCCTGGGTGGCTCAGTCGTTAAGCGTCTGCCTTCGGCTCAGGTCATGATCCCAAGGGTCCTGGGATCGAGCCCTGCATCGGGCTCCCTGCTCAGTGGGAAGCCTGCTTCTCCCTCTCCCACTGCCCCTGCTTGTGTTCCCTCTCTCGCTGTGTCTCTCTCTGTCATTGGTGGGAAGCCCGCTTCGCCCTCTCCCACTCCCCCATTGCTTGTGTTCCCTCTCTCACTGTGTCTCTCTCTGTCAAATAAATAAATAAAATCTTAAAAAAAAAAAAAGAAGAAGACTTCATAAAGATAAAGGTGTCAATTCACCAAGAAAATATAAATAATAAACATATGTACAGCTAGTAACAGAATTTCAAAATATATAAACACAGAATTAGGAGGAGAAATAGAAAAATCCGTAAGTACAGATGTAGATTTCAATGTTCCTCTAATAATAATCAATTAGATAAACAGAAAATTAGTGAGGGTATAGAAAACCTGAATAACACTATCAGCCAAGTAGACCTAATTGATATTTTTAGAACACTACTAGCAATAATGGCAGAATATACACCTACTTTTCAAATGTATGTGAAACATTCACCAAGAGAGACTACAATCTGGGCCATAAAACAAATCTTAATCAATTTAAAGACTGAAATCATACAAAGTATGCTTTGTGATCACAACAGAATTAAACTAGAAATCAGTAACAGAAAGGTATCTGAAAATTTTCCAAATATTTTGAAATTAACTCACTGCTAAATAACCTATGGGTCAAAGAAGAAATCACAAGAGAAATAAAACATTTTGAACTGAATGAAAATGAAAAGATATCAAAATTTGTGGGATGCGCTAATGCAGTGCTTAATGGGAAATTTATAGCATTAAAAACTTAAAAAAGACAGGTTTCTAAACAATAAGCCTTAAGAAACTAGAAAAGGAACAAATTAAACCCAGAGTAAGCAGAAGGAAGGAAATAACAAGGAGCAAAAATAGAAAACTGGGGCGCCTGGGTGGCTCAGTCGGTTATGCATCCAACTCTTGATCTCAGCTCAGGTCTTGATCCCAGGGTTGTGAGTTCAAGCCCCAGTGTAAAGCCTACTTAGAAAGAAGGAAAGAAAGGGAGGAAAGGGAAGGAAGGAAGGGAGGAAGAAAGGGAGAGGGAGAGGGAGGGAGGGAGGGAGGAAGGAAGGAAACAGAAAGACAACAGAATCAATTAAACCAAAAGCTGGTTCTCAAAAAAATCAACAAAATAACAATACCAGGAATGAGAGAGATGACATCACTACAGATTATGAAAATACTAAAAGGATAATAAAGGAATATTATAAATTATGTACAAATAAATTCAACAATCTACATAAAATGGGCAAATCCCAAAGGGATTTGATACAAACTACCAAAGCTCCCTCAAGAAGAGATAAACTGAATAGTCCTTTCTATTGAGTACAGAAGTTGAATTTGCAGTTAAAAATCTTTCCACAAAGAAAATTCAAGACCCAGATGGCTTCACTGGTCAATTCCAACATTAAGAAATAATACCCATTCTACACATATTCTTCCCAAACACTGAAAAGGAGGAAATAGTACCAAACCTACTCTATGTTGCAAGTGTTACTATGAAACCAAAACCAGACAAAGATATTATAAATCTATAGACCAATATCCCTAATAAACAAAGATGTAAAAATTCTACAACAAAATTTTAGCAAATAGAATCCAAACAATACATAAAAAAAAATAGTAATAATAGATCATCGCCAAGTGAAGTTTAGCCCAGGAATGAAAGGTTGGTACAACATTTTAAGTCATTCAATATAATTCATCAAATGACTAAAAAAGAAAAATGTTATGATCATTTTAATAAATATAGAGAAAAGCATCCAACAAAATTCAACATCCATTCATGATAAAAACTCTCCATACCAGGAATAGAAGGGATTTTCTCAACCTGATAAAGGGCATCTATAAGAAGACCCATATTGAAACATCACACAATGTTTAAAGACTCAATGCTTTCCCTCGCTAAAACTGGAAAAAAAGCAATGATGTCCATTCTCAACACTTTATGCAACATTTTACTTAAGACTCTAAGCTGTGCTATAAGGCAAGAAAAATAAATAAAAAGCACAGATTGTAAAAGAAGAAGTAAAATTACCTTTATTCAATGATACCATGATCATCTACACAGAAAATCCTAAGGAATATATTTAAAAAACTACTAGAACTACTCTCAAGATCACAGGAGACAACATCAATAAACAAAAATCAATCACATTTCTACAATAAATAAAATTGTATTACAAACAACAAATCTTTGGAAACTGAAATTAAAAACCCAATACTAGTTATAACAGCATAAAAATTATGAAATATTTGAAATAAATTTAACAAAAAAGTACCATATCCATACACTGCAAGTTATAAAAAACACTGTTAAGTGAAAAATTTTTAAAGACTTAAATAAATGGAGAAATATACCATTTTAATGGTCAGAAAGATTCAATACCATTAAGACAGCAATTCTGAAATTGATCTAGAGACTGAATGCAATCTCCTTCAAATCCCAGCAGGCTTTTTATAGAAATTGATAAGCTGATTCTAAAATTTATATGGAAATGCAAAAGACCTAAGACTGCTGAGACTTTGAAAAAAAGAACAAAATTAGAGGACTTTACCTGATTTCAAGGCTTAAAGTTATTTAGCCAAAACAGAATGGTATGGCATCCAGCACCCACATATATGGGTCAACTGAGTTTTAACAAAGTTGGTAGGGCAATTCAGTGGTAAAAGATAATATATTCAGCTAATAGTGTTGGAACAACTGGAGATATATATATATATATATATGCCAAAAAAATGAACAACTTATGCCCCACACCATATATACAGATTAACCATAAATGGATCAGAGACCTGGGCGCCTGGGTGCCTCAGATGGTTAAGCGTCTGCCTTTGGCTCAGGTCATGATCCCAGGGTCCTGGGATCGAGTCCCACATCGGGCTCCCTGCTCCTTGGGAGCCTGCTTCTCCCTCTGCCTCTCTCTCTCTCTCTGTCTCTCATGAATAAATTAAAAAAAAAAAAAATGGATCAGAGACCTAAATGTTAGAGCTTAAATTAATAAAACTTCTCGAAGAAAACACAGAAGAAAGTCTTAGTGACCTTGGATTAGGCAAAGATTTTTAAAGTAGAATGTAAAGGAAAAATTTGTAAATTGGACTTTATGAAAATTATAAAAATTTTTGATCTTCAAAAGACACTATTAAGTGAAAAAGCAAGCCACAGAGAGAAAATATTTGCAAGACATCTGTCTCACAAAGGGCTTTGATCCACAAGTTTTACACCATAAGACAACTAATCTGCTTTTTAAAAATAGTCAAAAGCTTTTTACAGATATCTCACCAAAATAACCCCAAAAAAACCCCAAACAAAAAAACCCCTCCCAACGTACAAAGGCCAAAAAGCACATAAAAAGATGCTCATAAGTATTAGCAATTAGGGAAACATAAATTTAAACCACAAGGATACTACTACTCACTCAACAGAATGACTAAAATTAAAAAGACTGATAATAGCAAGTGTTGGGAAGGATGTGGAACAACTGGAACTGTCACACACTGCTGGTGGGAATGAAAAATGGTTCAGCCCCTTTGATAATTTCTTATGAATTTAAACATGTCCTTATCATCTGACCAATTAATCCTACCCCTAGGTATTTACCCAAGAGAAATGAAAATATGTCAATAATGACTTGTACTTGAATATTTATGCAGCTTTAGTCATAACAGGCCCAAACTGGAAAGAATCCAAGATGTCCAACAACTGGTGACTAGATAAACAAATTGTGGTCTATCCATACAAGAGAATATTACTCAGAAATAAAAAGGGATAAACTACTGGTAAACACAACAACAAAGATGAATCTCAAAAGCATTATACTAAGTTAAACAAGCCAGACACAAAAGGCTCTAGACTATGTAATTCCATTTACATTAAATTCTAGAAAGGGAAAAACATGAAATTCTAAAAATTCATGAAATTCTAAAAAGTGATAGGAAGGAGATCAGTGACTGCCAAGGGTGGGGTTAAAGGGAAGAAACTCACTGCAAAAGAGAGAACTTTTTAGAGTGATGAACCAGTCTTTATTCTGACTGTGGTAGTATGATTGTATGATTATACAATTGTATACATGTTTGTCAAAACTCATCACAGTGAATATTTAAAACTGGTGAATTTTTCTGTATGTAAATTATACTTCAAAACAATCTAAGAAAAGATACTTCAAAAAGTGCTTAACTTACACGGTTATATATATATTTTAAAGATTTTAATTTATGGGGTGCCTGGGTGGCTCAGTCATTAAGTGTCTGCCTTCGGCCCAGGTCATGATCCCAGGGTCCTGGGACCGAGCCCCGCGTCGGGCTTCCTGCGCGGTGGGAAGCCTGCTTCTCCCTCTCCCACTCCCCCTGCTTGTGTTCCCTCTCTCACTGTGTCTCTCTCTGTCAAATAAATAAAATCTTTAAAAAAAAAAGATTTTAATTTATTTATTTGACAGAGAAAGCGAGCACAAGCAGGGGGAACAGCAGAGAGAGAGGGAGAAGCAGGCTCCCTAAGAGCAGGAAGCCTGACACGGGACTCGATCCCAGGACCCTGGGATCATGACCTGGGCTGAAGGCAGATGCTTAACCGACTGAGCCACCCAGGCGCCCCTTACATGATTATATTTTATCTCAAAACCATCATGCAGAATTTTCCCGAAGAATATGAAAACACAATTTGAAAAGATATGCACACCCCTACGTTTATTGCAACATTATTTGCAATAGCCAAGACATGAAACAATCCAAGTGTCCATCTACAGATGAATAAAGAAGTAAATAAAGATGAAACATATATATACATATATATATGGAATATTACTTAACCATAAAAAAGAATGAAATGTTGCCATTTGCAACAACATGGATGGATCTAGAGGATGTACATTGCTAAGTGAAATAGAGAAAGACAAATACCATATGATTTCACTCATATGTGTAAACAAAGATAAAAAGAGACAAACCAAAAAACACTTAACTACAGAGAACAAATGGGCAGTTACCAGAGGGGAGGTAGGTGGGGAGACAGATGAAATAGGTAAAGGGGATTAAGAGTACACTTATCATGATGAGCACTGAGTAATGTATAGAATTGGTGAATCACTATATTGTACACCTGAAACTAATATAACACTAGAATTAATTAATCAATTACATTTTAAAAACCACCAGGCAAATTAGGCATTATTATTTCTATTTTCTTTAAAAAATAACAAGATTAAATAAATAGCTAGTAACTAGCAGAGGGAAGATGATCTGAGTAAGCCCAGGCCCCTTTAAAACAAAATTGTACACTCAGAAAAGAATTTTGCTTTAATGGAGTTTAAAAAGCACAAGATTGAGTATAATATGAGATAGGTCTATTCATATAGGAAGAGTTTAACAGTGTTTAACTATGGGGCATAAGGAATGAGTAAGTATAAAGAAAATTTCTACTTTACACTTCACTGCATTGTTTAAAAATACTTTAAACGAGTGTTTTGTATCGGTTAATAAAAGCTTATTTAAAAAGATATTATATACCCGCAATTATTGAATTCATAATGGGTCCCAGTCTTTTGATTGCCCTAATTTAAAAATGGTGAAATATTTAATAAAACATCCTTCTATACACTGCTTGATGTTTAAGAAGAGCTCAATGACATCTAGAAATCAACACTTGATAATGGCTTACATTAATCCAAAATAAATATTTAGATAGCAAACAAATACTTGTTGAGTGATTAGTGATCACAACTTAGCTTATTTAAAATTCTGAAAGATGATGCATCACAAGGACAATGCCTATTGGTAAAAATTTTCTTTATATACATAAGCTAGTATCTGGAGTTTTTCTGCTAAACCCTTTATTAGGAGAGATACTGGGATAATCAACTGCATCTAATTAAAGTCTGCTTAAAATTGCAGGTGCCTAGTAATCCTGATGGGACAAGACATACCAGAAGATTAAATTAATTAGCGGTCAAAAGCTAGTAAGCAGTAATAAGATTAAATAAGTAAGATTAAACATAGGTGGGACACTAGACATAAAAGTCTGAGGATAACACACATGATTTTAAGACTTGCTAATGGTCTTCTTGCCTTCAATTTTGTTCCCTTCAAGTCCCCTTTACAGGACTTTTATAACTACAGTGATTTGGTTATACACAAAAGACGGCAGAAGATTGCAGCGATATGGAACACACAGGAAGAAAACAGGTACTGAAAGTCATCACAGAAGAATTTCAAGATAGGGCTTGAACTAAAATATCTGGATAATGAGACAAAATAAAATATAAACATGAGTGATGTTATGAATCATGGAAAGAAATCTCAGAATACAGTAATGACACAGATCTGGGGCTAAGAAATGGTTTGCTGATTTGTTTCCACATACCCTAAATTATGAAAAACCCAGAGAGCATGTATAAACAAAGTGGGTACTAAATACGAAAGAAAAATCAAAGAAGAGGAGAGAAAACAGAAGCAGGAATTGAAAGACACCATGGTGGCCAAAAAATTGCAGATTTTTATCCTGGGAAATTGATACAGAAATATCACTTTTATTATAGAAAGATTATTAAGGGAGGAACTTTTTTAAGACAGAAATAGAAGAGCTATGTTTTTGTTATATGAATTTAAAACTTTGGACAGATACCTATTTTGAAATTTCTAAGGACATGATACTGGGAATAAGAGCAAGGAAATAAAAAAATGTATAATGGAGCAAGTTGCATGTCATCTATATAATGAATGTAGTTAAAGCTCTTAGAATGAATTTCAGCAAGACATGGAGTATGAGACTTGAGGAATCTCTATTTTACCTAAGGAATCTCTACTTTACCTAAGGATAAGGGAATCTATTTTACTTAAGGATAAGGGAGGAAGTACCTTCTGAATAAATAAGTAAACCAAGCTCCAGATCCATACATCCATTTGCTTTCAGAAATGCTCCCCACCAGATTGATCCATTGACCCATCAGACTCAACATGACCAACAACGGGTTCATCTTCCTGTTTCCCCACATGTATGAATGGCACCACCATCACCCAAACACCTCTGTCAGAAACTTGAGAGGCTGCCTGTCTCTTCCCACACCTAGTCAGTGACGTACTGCTGTTAATTAAAATTCTTTTTTCCTCCTTCCTCCTTTTATTTCCTCCTTTTATCAAAGTCCTTTCTTTTATTTTCCCCCTTTCTATTCCCATTTCTGGCCCTTTCATTAAGATTTTCAATAAACTTCACCTAGACTATTATAATCGTTTCCAAACAGGTCTCCCTGACTCCAAACTTTCCATATATCACCTTTCCATATACACCTTCCATGTATCCCAAGTACAGAACCCACTTTATGATTTTCTAATGCATTAACTTTTTTTCTTAAAATTTGGCAATGAAAATAAAATCTAACCTCAGCACAATACAAAATCCTTCATAAGACCTACACTCCTTCCTCATATTCTGGGTCCCATCCAAGCTGAACTACTTGCAATTTCCCCAGCATACTCTATGACATCCTGTTCTCTCTGCCCATGGCTAGCTCCTAACCATTCTTCAAGGCTCAATCACTTGCCTTTACTTACTATATTATCCTCTCTCTTTGACTATAAACAACTTGTAAACAAGGACTGTATTTTTTATCTCCCAGCACTTAGTAGAGTAGGTGGATGAATGTATATTCATTAATTCCATAAGCATGTCCTGCCATGAAATGTGCCAGCCTAGTGCTTAGTTATTGGTTGACTAAGTGAGCAAGAACAAAGTTTGCTCAAACATAAACCATTAAAAATAGTCACTTCTCCACAAACAATGAATCATGGAACACTACATCTAAAACTAATGATGTAATGTATGGGGATTAACATAAGAATAAAAAAAAAAGTCACCTCTCAGTTTTAGTAGGGAATAAGATAGATATAAAAGAAAGAAAAATTAAAAGAAGAAAAATATTTAAAGCCAGAGTCAGATAGGAGGTAAGAATCCATGTAATAAAATGTGAGTACTAGCAAACAGGGGCAACTAGTTTCTAAAGGAACTGAGAACTATATACACTGCCCAATCATTTGCTATACCCTATTTTTTTAAACAATAACTTGAAATCTGTTAAATAAATGGATAGGTGGGCTGAGAACAAGGTCAATTATTTGGCAGGAGGATGAATAAAAACAGTAAATGACTATATCACAAAATAGAAAAATTTTCAAGAATTCTTGCAAAATTCACTGAAAGCTTTGGTTAAATTCCCCGATTAAAATAAAAGAAAAAAGAAGTACTATTTCATTTTAGCTACACTATTTGTACATCTAAAAATACCATTTAAGGGGCGCCTGGGTGGCTCAGATGGTTAAGTGTCTGCCTTTGGTTCAGGTCATGATCCCAGGGTCCTGGGATCGAGCCCCACATCGGGCTCCCTGCTAGGCGGAGAGCCTGCTTTTCCCTCTGCCTCTGCCTCTGCCTCTCTCTCTGACTCTCATGAATAAATAAATAAAACATTTAAAATATATATATATATTAAAAGTAATAAAAATACCATTTAATAGGTGATCATACTGGGTGTTAATTTCCCCATGCAGAATACAACCTTGGAAGTTTGTTAATGTAAGAAAAGTTACACATTCTTTTAGTTGTCAAGTGGGAGTTAAAGAAAAGAACTTACTGTCCACGAGGATACCAACGGTGCTTAGTAGTAAAGAACATTTTGCTAAGTTGTTCTATCATGGGTCCTTGCTCAAATTGCTCATTTTTTTCTTCTAATCTGGTTTTCAGCACTTGGTCATGTGTTTCTTCATTATTATGCACAGGATCTGGCCGAGGTATAGGCTACAAAATAATCAGAAATCAACAGCATCAAAATATAGGAATGATGGGCGCCTGGGTGGCTCAGTTGGTTAAGCGACTGCCTTCGGCTCAGGTCATGATCCTGGAGTCCCTGGATCGAGTTCCGCATTGGGCTCCCTGCTCGGCAGGGAGTCTGCTTCGTCCTCTGACCCTATCCCCTCTCATGTGTTCTCTCTCATTCTCTCTCTCTCAAATAAATAAATAAAATCTTTAAAAATATATATATATAGGAATGTTAGCCAGCATTTGACTGAGTTTACAACACAACAATTAACACACTCCGGAATTCATTATAGTACCTCAAGGTAGGTAAGTAAGTTTTCAGAACAGAATTTTACTTAGTTGCATTATTCATTAAAGAATCAGAAATAGGGGCACCTCGGGTGGTTAAACATCCAACTCTTGATCTTGGCTCAGGTCATGATCTCAGGATTGTGAGATCGAGCCTCTTGTCAGGCTCTGCACTGGGCATGGAGCCTGCTTAAGATTCTCTCTCCCTACCTCTTACACTGTTGGTGGGAATGCAAGCTGGTGAAGCCACTCTGGAAAACAGTATGGAGGTTCCTCAAAAAGTTGAAAATAGAGCTACCCTACGACCCAGCAATTGCACTACTGGGTATTTATCCCAAAGATACAAATGCAGTGATCCGAAGGGGCACCTACACCCCAATGTTTATAGCAGCAATATCCACAATAGCCAAACTATGGAAAAAGCCCAGATGTCCATCAACAGATGAATGGATAAAGATGATGTGGTATTTATATACAATGGAATATTACTCAGCCATCAAAAAATTGAAATCTTGCCATTTGCCATGACATGGATGGAACTAGAGGGTATTAAGTGAAGTATGTCAATCAGAGAAAAATAATTATCATATGATCTCACTGATATGTGGAATTTAAGAAACAAAACAGAGAGGGCGCCTGGGTGGCTCAGTCGTTAAGCGTCTGCCTTTGGCTCAGGTCATGATCCCAGGGTCCTGGGATCGAGCCTCACGTCGGGCTCCCTCCTCGGGGGGGAGGCCTGCTTCTCCCTCTCCCACTCCCGCTGCTTGTGTTCCTGCTCTCGCTCTCTCTGTCTCTGTCAAATAAATAAATAAGATCTTTTTTAAAAAAAAAAGAAACAAAACAGAGGATCATAGGGGAAAAGAGGAAAAAATAAAATAAGACAAAACCAGAGAGGGAGACAAACCATAAGAGACTCTTAATCATAGGAAACAAACTAAGGGTTGCTGGAGGGGAGAAGGGTTGCGGGATGGGGTAAGTGGGTGGTGGACATTAAGGAGGGCACATGATGTAATGAGCACTGGGTATTATATAAGACTGATGAATCACTGACCTCTACCTCTGAAACCAGTAATACATTATATGGTAATTAAATTTAAATAAAAATAAATTAAAAAAAAAGATTCTCTCTCCCTCTTCCTCTGCCCCTCCCATACCTCTCTCTCCTCCCCCTCTTAAAAAAAAAAAGTCAAATATTTTTTCTCTCATATCAAGTTTTGGGTTTCTTTTCCAATAATAAAGTTCTTATTTAATGTTATTGTTCCCCCAATAATAAAGCACTTATTACTTTAATTTTTATTTCCCAAAACTATAAATTGTGCCCATTATTTTTTAACTTGAAAGTTTACAGTCTCGGGTGCCTGGCTGGCTCAGTTAGTTAACTGTATGCCTTCGGCTCAGGTCGTGATCCCGGGGTCCTGGGATTGAGTCCTGCATTGGGCTCCCTGCTCCGTGGGAAGCCTGCTTCTCCTTCTGCCTCTGCCCCTCTCTCTCTCTCTCTCGCTCTGTGTCTCTCAAGAATAAATAAATAAAATCTTAGGGGAGGAAAAAAGTTTACAATCTTTAACCTTGCTTATCATTAAAGTGAGATACAATGAAAATGGTATTTCTTACATCCAAAGGAAACAAAAAAATTTCAGTGCATTCATTTCAAGTGACTGAAATGTCATCAAATGATGCTTTATGATAACTTGAGTACTTTTTCACCTAAAGACATCAACTACTAAAAATCTCATCTCCTCCCCAACACATTTGAATGATATAACATATTCCCATCAATAACACTAACTCATTAAAGCCTTTAAGAATCACTGTTTTGGAAAGTCAAGTCATGTATATTTTAAATATTACATGATGAGGTATGTAACACAAGGTGGTAACATTGTCTTGCTTTACAAATACCATATATACGTATTACAATACAATGAAAATCTGAATTTTTAACCAGAAAGAAAATAATTCAAACATAAATGTCTTTACATTCATACACTATTAATGACAACTACTACATTCTCCCATTGTATTAAATGCTATAGCATATAATTATATTTGTTAGGCATATGTACATAAAAAATAAGACTTCTTTAAAAAGCAGTATCTAAGCGCATGAAGGTGGCACAACTGACTCAATACTACAGAAATGCAAAGTAACAAAAAGATATTAGTGAGAGGTAAAATAGGAGCCAAGTCAGAGCCTTGTTACAGAGGGCAGAATGCATTCTACAAGGAATAACAAATATTAAAAGTAGGAAAGAACACACAATAAAGAGATAAACTTTAAAATGGATCTTGAGGGCACCTGGGTGGCTCAGTCGATTAAGCACCTGCCTTCGGCTCAGGTCATGCATGATCCCAGAGTCCTGGGATCTCCTGCTCAGCAGAGTCTGCTTCTCTCTCTCCCTCTGCCCCTCCCCCCTGCTCATGCGCTTCCTCTCTCTCGCTCGCTCAAATAAATAAAATCTTTAAAAAAATAAAAATGGATCTTGAGAAATCAGATTATGAAAGGCCTGCAAAGTAAGACTTGTAACAATTTGAGATAAGTAGAAATAAGGAACTACTTAGTGTGGGAGGGAATGAGCAGGTAGTAAAGAGGTTAAGAACTTGAGCTCTGGTTTCTAATTCTACCACTTAATAGCTCTGTGACCTTGGACAAGTTATTTAAGCTCTTAATTTCCCTTTCTGTAAAGTCAGAGAAATAATACCTACCCAAAAGGGCTTGGTGAGGATTAAATGAAATAATAATATATGGTATGCTTAGCTGTCCCTTGTACTCTTAAGAGTTCAATACTGGTAGGCAGCTACTAAGATTTCTTTAAGGCCTCAAACAGGAGAGAATTTACTTTAAAGAAAAAGTCCTCCTTAGACATTTAAAGTAATTTTAAAAGATCATTACTTGTATGTAAAGCGAAATATTAGTAAGTGTCTTTGCAAGTTACTATGAGACCCTCAGAGGTCTAGCAAACACAGGATTAGAACCTATAATAGTTTTCTCTCTTTTAGGTGACTATACTTGTTGCTAAAGATCAAATGTTTTTAGTATTATCAAAAGTTAAGTTGTTTCCAAGTATTCATGAATGTTCCATTGTCTCTCTTCCTATTCCCAAGCAGGCTCAATTCTAATATATCACAAATTCTCTCTGCTTTGTATGATTAAACACACTTCTTTTCCAGGCACATAGATAAAAGACATCGGAATTAATGGATTCTTCAAAGTCTATACCAAGAGCCTCTGGCAGCGTTGGTGGTATAGTGGTGAGCATAGCTGCCTTCCAAGAGCCTCTGGCTGATTCAGAATTGATTTTTAGGTAGCATTTGATCTCCTTGATCAAACTTCAAAGAAAGGACACATGACTATTTCAAAAAAGGAAAAACTAAAATAAAACTGTCAACTTTAAAAAACATTCAGAACTGTCATCCTGACTTTTCCTTGTTTCTCTTAAGAATTTTCAAAATTTGACTTTTGAAATTTTCCACCAAATCAGCCACTAAAAGAACTGCCTAGTGCTTACATTTTAGTATTTCCAAGTCATTCTTTTTGCCCCTTGTGTAATATCTTTATTTTCCTAAACTAGAAATCCTAAATTCTAGAAAAACATTTTTAGAATATTAGTACTTTTAATAAAAAATATACTCGGCAAAAGAAGAAGGAAGGATCTTTCTTCACAGATCTGGATCTGTGGAAAACAATCAACATGTTTTAAATTCAAATTACCAGAAAACCAAACATGCAAATCATCCTAATTTTCTTAAAGCCAGTCTCAGTAGGTATTTCTACATATGACCAGGATCTTTGCATGCAGTTGCTTTCCAGGGCCTAGAGAATCAAAGGGCACCCTGGAGTTGCAGCAGCCCTACCTCCTTGAGGAAAGAAAAAAAATCAAGACTAAACTTCAAGTCATGTTGGAGGGTATTTATTTATTATCATGTACTATCTGCATGAGATTTGTAAATCTAGATTCAAAAAGAACATACTGTATTCTAAATTCTAACAGTAATGTGTTTTCAAGAATGTTTCTTATTGTGCAGCCCAATCTATAATTTATTACTTGAGAAACAAAAAAATTCCATGCTTCCCCATGTGAATGTCTCTTAGCCCTAAAACAGAAAACCCATAAGCATGAAGAGAGAGGAACAAATTTATTCATTTAATCAACACATATTTAGTGTTCACTTACCAAGTACAGGTGTTATTCCAGATGCTAAGGATATACCAGAGAACAACACAGAGCCCTGTCCTCATGGAGGTTACATTTTAGTGATGGGAGATAGACAGAAATACAAGAAAGTATCTATTGTGCCAGAAATGATACAAGCCATTGAGAAAAGACAATAGGAAGGGGCCCAGCAGTACGGGTACTACATTTAGCCCAGAGGTAGGAGCCTGCCTAATGTACCTGAAGAACAGCAGGGAGGCCAGTGTGGTGAGCAGTGGAATGATTACATGTAAAGTGATAAGAGTAATCTTCTAGACAAGAGAGAGAGAAAGACAGAGAGAGGGAGGGAGAGAAAGAGGGAGGAAGGAATACTGATGATGTGGGAGAGGAGACAACAGCTACAATGGGAGTGCAACAGAAAAAAAGGAACCAGGGAGTTGGACATGTATGCAAGGGAGTGATTATAATGATGGACCATGGAATCTATGCCAGGCAAGGAGAGAAGTGAGAATGTGTGAGATGCATGAGGGCTAAGAAAAAGTGCTTTGATCAATGGATGTAGGTCTCAATGAGGAGATGAAGAATTCTTGGAGGTGGGAGACTGGGGGAACTGGTAGGAAGCTAGTGGAATTCTTGAAATCTAGACTGGCAGGAAGGAGGAGCAGGTATTTGTGATTAGAACATCTCTAAAATACAGCAGTGGGAATGGAGGCTGAGGTAGGGGAAAAAGATGAAGTGAGAGGTCAGGGCACAATACAGCGAGAGCTGTAGTGTTTACAAGCCAAAAGTCAGTGATTTATGCCTATTTTCTACACACTGCCCCAAGAAATGAAATGAAAGAGGTACTGGATTACTGCCTATGATATGTGACTAGAATACAAAGCAGGCAGACAAAACGGTGAGATTAAAGGGAATAAAAACTAGCAAAATACAATTAAGCTATTTTCTCAAATCAACCATTATTCTGACCCTAATGATGATTTTTAAAAAACAGGTACCACTAGATGCATCATGTGACGATTTGAATTATCTAATTCTTTTCTCCTCAAAGAGCAAATCAAACATTACTAAATATAGTAAACTAAGGCTTAAAAGACATAGAAGGAAGCATTTCAAATATAAAATAAGAAAAAGACTTGGGTCAAGCTAAAATAAATCGTACTGAAGACAAAAACAAAACTTCCTCTACCTAGTGCTTGGCTTTTGAAGAAATATGGAAAAAATTAAACTAGTCCTTAAAATATATGCCCATGTTGACCCATTAGAAAAAAACTGGAAAAAAAAATTCACCAAACATGCAACGGATTATCAGAACCAATATAATATAAAGGGTATAAAACAGCATACCAAAATACAAGTTTTTCATGATTTATTAGATTACAATATAAGGTAGTATGGGACAATGTGTTTTATAAATCTGTACTAGCCAAAAATCACCTACCAGATTTTAGACCAGAAAACTGATGCCATAATTGTGTTTAAATGGTTCACTCTGTATACTGAAAAAGTCTTTAAAGAAAGAAGATGAAAAAGATATGAGAAAAACTGAAATAGTAAAATAAAAACCAAAAAAAGATATAAACCAAATAAAGGAAATCAAACAATTCCATTCTCTTTGGATACTGTAAGGAAATGTGAATATTTCTAACAGCAAATTATAAATTACAAGAGATTTTCTCATACATACTTTTGTATGTTCATATGGAATGTCCACAGAAGGGTGGTAGCATACTATTGTCCTGCCATCCGATGTCAAAGCAAGCTCCACTTTGCTAAAAAACAATGTTTTAGAAACAGAGTTATACTGTATTCAAGACAGAATGATTTTCTTAGAGATAAAATTAATTAACCAACCATAAATCCCTGAAGAATAGATGCTATGACACTAGACTGGCAGACCTGGTACCTGTATCAGAGGGGACAACTCAGACCATCCCACAAAATATGTCAGCTTAACTACCACAACAAACCATTAATGCATAACCCACTCTTTTACCTATTTGTTTTTAGACTATCCAAATCTTTGGGAGGGATCTTCATGTTTACTCATCACTATTATCAGAACTTTTTTCCTTATCTAAAAACTACCCTCAGGGTGCCTAGGTGGCTTAAGTCAGTTAAGCGGCTGCCTTCAGCTCAGGTCATGATCTCGGGGTCCTGGGACGGAGCCCCCTGTCAGGCTCCCTGCTCAGATGGGAGTCTGCTTCTCCCTTTCCCTCTGCCCCTGACCCTGCTTGTGCTCTCTCTCTCTAATAAATAAAATCTTAAAAAATAAAAACTACCTTCAAAAAGCTGTAAGAAGTATATTACTTTGTTAAATTATTAAAATTAAATATCAGCAAAGTACATAATCTTTCGAGCAAAGGATCACCTGAATTTCCAATCATAAAGATTGCAGCTGAGCCCTTTTCTAGATCAAGTGCCTTCTCCAAGTGCCTTTCGCGGAACAATACAGCTGTAAGAAGTCTCCCGTAAAAAGAGTTCTGCAGTCAAATAAATTTGGCAATTACTGAATACTATCCCTTCCCTCCACTGATATCCCTCAGAAAAACATATTTTGGGCAATACTCCTCTAAATATTTTTTCCAGCAATATTCTGGCTGGATCTCACCCAGGTACCAACTGACCAAGACTATTTTTCAAAGATCCTATCAACTATTATACTCAAATCCACATACATTCTAAGGAGCACAACTTTCAGCTTTCATTAACCTTATGTGTTCTCTAGATACCTACAAATTTAAGTTTCTAGGGTTTCAATACTAACCAGATTTGAACTAGATTGGCAATTAAACACTACAGTGTATTTTAGCTAACGTAAGATACAGTATTAGGTTGTTTCACCACGATTTTAAGATCAAATAGCATAACACAGCTATAATGAACATTTAATCTATCAAGTGATTTTTGATGAAGAATGGAGTTTTATATAATACACAACACTTATAAGATTCAATCTTTTCAGGTTTAAAGTGTTACCTATTACCTAGTCTAATTTCATCACTATCTTAGTACTTACTAAGTATACACTTAAAATTCAAATTAAAACTAGTGTCAAGAGGGAAAAAAATATTTTTTTACCAAAATTTGCAATAAAAACATCATAGCTTAAGAAAATATGTTGAGTTTCTGTACATCAGACTACTACAGAGAAGAAAACAACATCTTATTCATATATTATTCCTTGTTCTTAGCATAGTGACTAGAATTGAGTAAGTACCAAATAAATTGTGACTGAATTAAATTATTTGTAATTTAGGGTTATTCAACATCAACCAAAAGATAAGATAAATAAATGCTTAAGCTAAAAGATATGAACCCCAAGAGAAAAAACTAAAAAAACTAATTAACTTTTCCAAAAAGCTAAAGAATGCTTTAGAATAAAAGATAGCATTTCTTTCTTTTTTTTTTAAATTTTTTTTTTTTTTTTTTAAGATTTTATTTATTTATTTGACACAGAGAGAGAAAGCACAAGTAAGCAGAGAGAGAGGGAGAAGCAGGCTCTCCACTGAGCAGGGAGCCGGACGTGGGGCTCAATCCCAGGACCCTGGGATCATGACCTGAACCGAAGGCAGCCGCTTAACTGACTGAGCCACCCAGGCGCCCAAAAGATAGCATTTCTAACAGCATGTCTGTCTTACAACAAATTAAGGATTCACTGAAACACAATGATAATGATTTTTATTTAAAACATTTATGAGCCCAGATACTGTGTAAATAAGGCCGCTGAAATAATTTTTAAATACAAAATTAAAGAATCAGAAAAGAAAGCAGAAAATACCAAAATGAGAAATAAAATTAAAACACTTCAGATACAACTAACAAACTGTTATTTTTTCAACTGAATTTAAATACATACCAATTATAGTCATCTGGTAGAGAAGAATACGTAGATTTATGACAAACACAATATAAAGCTCCGTCTGCAAAAACCCCAAGCAGTAAAATGGATTTAGTTCATTTGAGCATATGTTCTCACATAAATGTAAAGCTAGTTTCATTCATTCAACCAATATTTACTGTTTACTATGAAACAGGGGTGTACTAGAGATCGGGGATTCAACAAGATCTAGTCCCTGCTCTCAAAAAAGGTACAAGTCTGGTGAGAGACAATTCCAATATAAATGACAAGCCTTGTTAGGATGGGTAGGCACTGGGAGAGGGCACACAGGTTACAAAATAGGACTGTGCAGTTTTAAGAATGCCTTTCCAGTGAAGATGATGTCTAAGGTGCTCTGAAGGATGGAAGGATAAGCAGGAGTTGGCAGGGGTGAGTACAATGTTCCTTGTAGGGAGTTACAAGTGCTAAGGATCAGAGGAATACAGGAAGGATTTAGGTATTCTAAAAACTTGTAAAAATAAATAAATAAATAAAAACTTTGTGAGACCAAGTGCATGGTACAAAGGGAGTATGTTAAGTGATGAAATACAAAATAAACTGTTCAAATTTAACTTTTCTTAATCAAAATGCTCAGATTTCAAAGCATATTTTCCTTTTTTAGAATATCTGCAAATTCAAGAGCCATAATTACTTTGTTTCTCCTATGTTCAGAGAAACAGTGTTCCTTTAAATACAAAGAAAAAATGTAAACGTAGCTCAGTATAGTTAAAAACAGTTCTGAATAGGGTAGTCCTCCCCCATCCATGTTTTTGTTTTTTGCAGTTTCAGTTACCCAAGGTCAACCACAGTCCAGAAGCAGATGATCCTCCTCCTGACACAGTGTCAGGTCAGGAGTAGCCTAATGCTATATCACAATGCTATGTCGTTCACCTTGCTTCATCTTAATACATAGACATTTTATCTCACATTATCATAAGAAGAAGGGTGAGTACAGGACAATAAAGACCACATTCACATAATTTTTATTACAGTACCTTATTAGAATTGTCCTATTTTGTTATTAATTATGGTTGTTAATCTCTACTGTGCCTAACTGGTAAATTTATCACAGGTATGTATGTATAGGAAAAAGCATAGCATATAGAGGGTTCAGTACTATCCAGTGTCAGGCATCCACTGGGAGTCTTGGAATGTATCCTCCACAGATAAGGGAGAAATACTTTATATGCTGGCTAAAGCCAAGGATCAACTTCTCTCAACTGAGCCTCTTGCTCCTCAGTATGAAATGCAATCCCCATTTTGTTCAAATACCATTCATCCTTCAAAGTCTAATGCTACTCTTCCATGAAATCCTTTTTCTCCTCCCTGCCCCACAATTCCCATCACAGAGAAAGGAGTGGTCTATTGTACATGTCCCAAAACCTATGCTTCACTTGACATTGCTATATCTTCTTTGTGGTCTTTTTTTTTTTTTTCTGCATCAGTTATTTATATGTATCAAAGATGTATAAATAAGATATATTTTCCAACTTTGTATATTCCTCCTTTCCCCAAGGGCTGCATATAGAGGTCTAAACATAAATTCTTACTCCAAAGCATAAAAAGTGCCTTAACAAAACTCACTTCTATCATAAAAGATTGCTCAGCAAAATGTCAATCCCAAAATTCTATTGATGTAAGATTATAAAATACAAAGAATTAGAAATTTAACCTCATCTCTCAAAAGATTTGGTTTTCGATTATCTGTGCTAATATGAAGCAACATTCAGCATGACAAGTCAGAGGATGACATAAACATCATTTACACTTATTTTATTTTCTTCACACTGTCGGGAATCTTCTTAATTATATATGAATTAATACTAAAAGAAGTTTGTAGTCTCTGAATATATACCAGCTAGGTGATATACACATTCACTGAAAGAAACAGGGTTGGGCTGGGTGGCAGAGGCAGGACAGACAGAATTAAATGTTTTTAAAATAGGCAGGAGGGAAAACTCAAGACAACAGTATTTCAGTTCAAGAAGAAACTGTTAAATTTCTACCCTGTACTTAAACACAGACATTTGTTTGTACCCTCATGACATACATGACATTTTATATCATATTCAGGTATTTCTTATTTCCATAGATGTCTGCTTCACCTACAAGTGTAGATAAGTTCCTTAAGGCCAGGAACCACACCTCAATCATGACTCTGTCCCCTCCAGTGGCTACTAACAGAGAAGTGACTGCTGAACTGTGTCTAAAATGCTAACTTCTTCACAGTTAGTACATAATTAGAGATATTCACCTGACACTTTATCAAGAGAAAAACTCTAAATATGGTAAATATCAGAGGTTTTAAATATATAATTAGAATTGGGGCGCCTAGGTGACTCAGACGGTTAAGCGTCTGACTCTTGATTTCAGCTCACGTCATGATCTCCAGGGTCCTGAGATTGAGCCCCGCATCAGGCTCTGTGCTCAGTGGTCTGCTTGGGATTCTCTCTCTCTCTCCCTCTGCCCCTCCCCACACCCCGCACACGAGCGCATGTTCTCTCGCTCTCAAATAAATAAACCTTTAAAAAAAAAGAATTAATGCCAAAGTTAACATCAATCAACTCAATTTACCAAAAAGAATTTCAATGAGTCAGCTCTCCATAATTTACAGGCTATTCTTGTTATGTATACATATGTTTAACTGCTTTTTGATAAGATCTATAAAAACTGACAGTCCCACTTAACCTTCAAATGCTCCATATTTTAAGTTACTACAGGAAAGAAGATATAGTAGAAAGTGTTTTAGACTAAATAAGATGGGAAGACCCAAGTCTCGATCACAGCTCTCATCTATCTGATATACAACCGTGGTAAGTTTCTGAGGGGTCAGAGAACTCAAGTTCCTTCATCTTCATAGAACACCTACCATGTAGTATTATTCAAAGTTGTAAAATTCAAAGTTGTAAAGATCAATGACTTAGTATGCTTAAAAACCCTTAAAATATTCTACATTCCCATTGTTGATTGTATATTTTGGAAGGTTTTAAATGTTCCTTTTGGCAAATGGGAGGCCTTTTTATTTCTGCTCACTGAACTTTCTCCCTTAATCATGGTTTTGCTTTGCCTCTAATCTTAATGTTCTTCCTTTTCATATAAGATATCAATAATAGTAATAATACTTTACCTTCAATAATAGTAATTATAGGACTTGTGGAGAATAAGGGGCTTCAGGATGCAAGAAGTTAGGCAGTCACTGAATATTAGGATGACTGAGTAATAATGAAATAATTTCCTGGGGTAACTTAAATTAATTCTTAGTTAACTAGATATTTTGACAACTCCAGTCCATTCAAATCAGCTCACAAATATTTATCACCTACCAGGTATGAGAGGTACTAAGGAAACCAAAATAAATTAGACACTACAAATTTATAATCTAGTAGGTAAAGTATACATAGATAATTTTCACTTATCCAGGGGCAGATTAACTGGTTTTCAGATTAACCTCAGTGAGGGCTAATTGCTGTTTCAGGAAATGGACTAGGAAAAAATGATTAGGTCTGATTTACCATCAGCCTTGAGGCTGGGTTCAAGTCAGGGCAAAGGTTTAAGCAAGCAGAAGTCTCTTTCCCAATTCTCAACAACAAAAATGCTCCTAAGTGATCAAGAACCGACTACTGTTTTGTTTTGTTCTCATTGATTTTTATTCTTTTTAAGGGAGGGATGAGAGAGAGAGAGAAAGGAGGGGGAGAGGGAGAAAGAGAATATAAAGTAGGCTCCACACTCAGCACAGAGCCCAATGCGGGACTTGCTCTCACAACCCCGAGATCATGACCTGAGCCAAAATCAAGAGTTGGACGAGGGGCCCCTGGGTGGCTCAGTCAGTTAAGTGTCTGCCTTCAGCTCAGGTCATGATCCCAGCGTCGAGCCACTATTGGGCTCCCTACTCAGTGGGGAGTCTGCTTCTCCCTCTCCCTCTGCCCCTCCCCCTCCACTTGTGTTCTGTCTCTTGCTTTCTCTCTCAAATAAATCAGTAAAATCTAAAAAAAAAAAAAAAAAAGTTGGACACTTAACCAACTAAGCCACCCAGGGACCCCCTGATTTTAGTTTATATCTAAAGTCTCTTAACAATCTCCTCCTAATTTACTTGATTAAATCTACTTTTTACCTTAGTTTTCAACTCTTTTCCCCTAACTCAATAAACAAACATTCAATTACAAATGGCAATAAATAGAAAACATGAAGGAAGAGATTAAGGTCAGCCAGAGATGTGTAAAAAAGTTGGCTTGCATAGGTAAAGAAGAAAAAGCAAACTGATTATTACACTCTAACCATTATCTGCTTTAGAAATGGAAGAAGAGAGTTCACAGAGGAAAGGGAGAGTGAAAGCAAGACTGGTTGGGAAATAAGATTTTAATAATAGTCTATTTATTTATATGGGCCAATGTTTTGACTATCAAAGATGTATCAAGAGGCTTTGAAGAAAATATTAGACCATGCACATTTCTTTTAAAAAGAAAGGTACAAATTATATATTAAATTATAAATTCCTTTTCTTTAAAACTAGGTGTCATGCCCAACATGGGGCTTGAACTCATGACCCTGAGACTGAGAGTTGCATGCTCTGCTAACTGACCCAGCCAGGTGCCCATATAAATTATAAATATTTTACATACTATGACATATAAAATGCATCTTTATATTAAACATACATATTTTTAAATGGCTAAGTACACAGAAAACACATACCGAAATCCTAAATATTAGCAATGATTTTTATAAGATGAAATTGTAAATTTGCCTTTTACTTGCTAATTTTAAGAACTACTAAAAAAGTGATATGTGAAAACATAGTGAACATAAGTGATTCAAACCAGAGAAAGTTCCTCTTTGTCAATCCCTCACTTGCCCTCAGCTAAATCCCACTAGTGGTCTATACAGATAACCTTTTTGGTCCACACTTTTTACTCTGTATTTATGCATATACCTATACAGGTATACGGTAGATCATCTTTTAAATGCACAAATGGGATCATACAATAAATACTGTTCCGTGACATACTTTTCCCCCCTTCTATTTAGAGATCTTTTCATATTGGTAACAGCTGTTGATATTCATAAAGATGTGCCAAAATTTATCCACCCCCTTTGATGGCCATTTAGACTTTCTCCCCTTTTCCATTATTGCAAACACTCCTATTAAGAGGCATATACAATAACTAAACACTTCTTTTTTTGCCTAATAACTAAAGACTTTAAATCTTCTACAGCGAACATGGATTTCTTAATATATGAAAAATTTTACATCTCTTTTTAAACATGAAAAAAATCTCACTTTGAATTGGAAATAAATGTTTCCAGATAGCTCTGTTTGATATCGCCCATTTTACTGCTGCTAACGCCATGGTGAATCAAGATGCTTATTAGGTGGTGAGAAAGAAGATGATTTGAAGAGAAACTGATTTTAAAATCTTCTTGCAGGTATACCTATTTTCATCCCTGCATAAAAGATAAAGAAAAATTAATGCCTATGATAAATTAAAGTGATACGATATATTGAACGCTACAAGAACAAGAGGAATCGCTAGCTAGAACTACAGTCACAAGAAAACCTTCTAAACAACTTTCCATTTCCATGTAATATATGACAAAGAACAACACCAAAATATAAGACCCAACGCCCTGGAACTATGTCCATTACTATTTTTCTTAAATGCACACTTCTCAGCACCTAGTATAGTTCTTTCCATTTAGTGAGCACTCAGCAAACGCGTAATTCCCCTTAGAAAACAGTCACTCACACATGCTACACAAAGCATCCTCCTTCATAAAGCTCATGTGTCTGTGTGCAGCCTCTCAGGTGCCATACACATGATCTTACTACATCACTTGAAGTAGGATTGTTTCTAATTAAATTAAGTATTAAACAAGGCCTATCCTTTACCCATTAAATACTGATTTAGAGGAACACATATAAACACTCTAAAGTCCCAAGTAAAATTTCACCCTCTTACATATGTACAAGGTTTTTAACTTTCCAAGGTGCTTTCACTACCATTTCATTTTACTCTATTAATCATGACAGGTATCTTTATTTCATTCATGAAAAAACTAAAGTACAAAATTTAAATGATTTGCTTCCAAGAACTTTAGAGCCAGTCACTTATAAACTGGGAAACTTTGGGCAAGTCATTAACTAAACGATCCTCTGTTTCTTCCACGGTAAAATGGGGAAAACAACCACAACCTCCATGGCTTTTGTCGGTAAATGACTTATAACCATTGCTACATCCCTTGTTTTTAATTAGCCTCAATGACTATTCGTTCCCTTCCCCCCAATAGTGATAAAATGGAATTGGGACATAGGCCTCACAGTCTTACTTGCTAGACTAAATTACGCAGGGTGATTCCCTGCACCGTCAGTACATTTGCACTACTTTCCTGAGTTCATACAGTGTGCTTTTTACAGTTTATAACCCCCTTTCCCTATACATTATATGCTCCTTCACAAGTCTGTGAGGTAGGCGTCTCCATTTTATACACTGAGAACCTGAGGTTCAGAGGTCAAACGAGTTACCTGCCCGCTATACCGCTGCTTTATAGGCGGCATGGGTTGGACGCAAACCCATGTCTTCTGACTACGAACCAAGAAACAAAGTATCTGGGGGGATCTAATGTCCCCCTCAATCAGGGCAACTGGAAAGTCAGATTACTCACTCCAGGGAGAGAAATTCAGACAGTAAATTCCTTGGCCCAGAATTCAACCCCGAAGGAAAAACTCCGGAGAGCTTCGAAGGACTCGCGGTCTGAGGAACATGCTAAGAGAAGCATCGGGACTAGCACCCAAGAACAAAATCGAAAGACCTGGACTGGAGGGGTCCCCGAGCGATCCGCCGAGGCACGAGGGGAGCCCACAGGAAGGGCACGGCCACACGCCAACCCTTCTGCAGGACGGACACCAGGGGCTTCACCCTGCCGCGAACGATAGGTAGACCACATCGACATCTCCCCATAAGGCTTCTGGACCTGCCTAGCTTTTAAAAACTCCTTAACCGGAGGAAGAGAGGGTAGCAGTTACCTGACAGCCGTTCACCACGAGCCCGCCATTTTACCTCAATCCGGGTCCTAGAAGACACCGCTTCACGCACCTCCCTGGTCCGCGGGGCACTCTGGGAAATGTAGTCTCCGCGGGAAGAGCTCCGGGTGGGCTGAGAGCCGGATCTATTGAACTTGTTCCCGTGTTTAGCTGAAGCTGTTTGCCTCAACTTGAGCTCATGAACCCCCCTCTCCCCAAAAAACAAAATCACTGACCCATGCACACATCCTTAGAAAGTAGCAAGCACTATCTTTTTAAAAACTTTGTACAAATAATTAGAGGCGTTCGAGATCGATTCTTGTTGAGTAAGCTAAGGTTTCCTGGGGGGAAGAAGTAATTTCAGAGAAGCCCTGAAGGCCGATGGGGTTGGATTTGACGTTTGACATAGGGAAGTGGGGAGGCCCTTCCACCTGAAAGCCCAAAACTGTTCTGAGAATTGTGCTGGCTATTCATTATGGAAGGAAGAAAATGTGCAGAATCCTGGACTTTGCCTTATATTTTTGTGAGGCGAGAAGGCCCCCGGGCCTTTGCACTTCCTGTTCTCATTGCCAGCAATGCTTTTCTCTCACCTCTTCTCATGACTACTGCCTTATTTTATACAGGTCTTGCTCAAATATCATCTCGGAGAAGACCATATCAAGAAAAGAGCTTCATCTGCCCTTATCCCATTGCTCTCCTTTATTATTCTTCATAACATTTACCATTATATAACATTCTGTTATCATTTGTTTCCTTGTTTAATGTCTGTCTCTTATGCTAGAATTCAAGCTCCATGAAGGCAGGAACAAGTATCTATCATGTTTTATACTCTATATAAACCCAACATGTAGAACTGCATTTGGCCTCATTGTAAGCCTCCAATATTTGTTGAATGAATGAAACAATAACACTGCAGATATCCAAAGCAGTAGATGATTGACTGCTGAAGCAGCAGTTTAGCCTGGGAATTCCTTTCCCAAATGATTTGCAAAATTTTGTATATATCTACATTTTTCTGAAAAGAATTCATAACTTTTATCGTGTATTCAAAGGGGACAATAAACTCCTCAAAAGTCAAGGGCCATATGATATGAGTGCCTGGATGGCTCAGTTGGTTAAGTGTCTGACTCTTGATCTCAGCTCAGGTCTTGATCTCAGGGTTGTGAGTTCAAGCCTTGTTTTGGGCTCCACGTTTTAAGCCTACTTAAAAAACAAAAACAAAAACTTAAGGCCATAGTCCTGAGTAGTTAATATTGAAAATAAGTGAACATAATATAAGTTCACAATAAAGAAAAATAAATGTGGGCTGTTTTGGTGTCTTTCCTTATTTTTACATAATACCAAGTTTGTTCTGCTACTAATCTTTGCTCCTGTAGAAGCCCACACTGAGGACCCATGTCTGTCCTTTCTAATCTTGCCCATCCTTCAAAGCTGTCTTGTAATGTCTTTCTGAACTATGTTGTAGGAAGAGACAGAGAGGAGAAACAGATTTGAATGAACAATCAACTGGACTTGTTAAGCATTTGCTATGCAATGCAGAAGATGGATGGAATGGTGACATGATAGATGATGGCAACCATGAGATGAAGAGAAGGGCAGTGTCCAGATATATGTTGGAAGTAGAAATGACGACTGAACTTACTGATGGATTGATTAGATGTGGGAGTTGAGAGAGAGGAAAGACCCCTCAGGAGATGCTTTGATGACTAGCTTGAAGGTGGTATGGTTCAGGAGATAGGGGAGACTGAAAGAGGAGCAGGTTGGGGGGTCTGACGAGGGTGGAAATGAGTAATTCCACTTGAGCGTTGTTGAGTTTGAGATATCTCTGAGACATAAATAGAGATATAATAGAAATATAAAATGAGACACGTGGTTAGATAGATGTGTCTGAAGAAGAGTTTAAGGTAGATGTAGATGTGTCTGAAGAAGAGTTTAAGGTAGATGTAGATGTTGAGTGCATGTAGGGAGAGAATGCAGAAAAAAAGAAAAAGAAAAAGGCCCTAGAATGTGGGCCCAGGGAATTCCAACATTTAGAGGTCATGTGGAGGAGGGCAAAGACCCCGCAAGGACCTCTCGGAGGTGGCAAGGAGACAGGCAGTATGAAAACCAAGAGACTGTGGTGTGAGAGCAGCTAAGAGAGGCATGTTGTAAAGTAGTTTGATACCCGCAAGTTTAAAACTGTAATTCCCCAAAATACAAACTGGGAACACCAGTGACAACTTACATTGGCTTACATAAAAGCAGTTTAAGTTCATGCTAGTAAAATGATGAAACAGACAAAACTGTAAAACTTTGGAGTTGGCTTCAAATGGCTTCTGCCGAGAAATGCCTTTTATCTTCCCTAACTTCACAAAATAAAGTCACTTTTTATATAAATCAGAGATCAAAGACTCCAGGGCAATAACTACCAAGCCATTAGGGATAATGTTTCTAAAAACTTTTATTTATTTTTTATTACATAAAATTGGCTACAGTTTTGAGTACTTACTATGTGTCGGACATTATTCTTCAAACACTTTATTTTTATTTTTATTTTTTTCAAGATTTTATTTATTTATTTGAGAGAGAGAATGACATAGAGAGCACATGAGAGGGGGGAGGGTCAGAGGGAGAAGCAGACTCCCTGCCGAGCAGGGAGCCCGGTGCGGGACTCGATCCCAGGACTCCAGGATCATGACCTGAGCCGAAGGCAGTCGCTTAACCAACTGAGCCACCCAGGCGCCCATTCTTCAAACACTTTAAATGTTTTTTTTTTCTATTCCTTCTGAGAGTCCTAGGAGGTGGGTATAATTATTGTGACTGTCATTATACAAATGATGTTCCAGAAACACAGAGAAGGAAAATAACTTGTTCAAAGTCATGCAAGGTACGAATGGTAGAACTGTGACTTGAGTCTGGGAACTACTCAGCACCCCTGAGCTTAACCTGTGCAATGCTCATTTCCAAATAGAAAATGTATACTAAAAAAAAATACTAATACAGATGTTGAAAAACAAAACCCAATAGATAATCACTGCTAACGCTTGGGTGTATAATCTGTCACTTTTCATCTCTTCTTATGTCCATATTATAATAGCTAACATTTATTGGACACATTATGTGTACTGTTTTAAAATCCTATGCCAGTAAATGGTGGAGCTGAGATACGAACCAGATGGCCTGGTTCTCCTTCAATCTCCCTCTCTTTCGCACAAACACATATTTAGGTTTTCTTTTATTCCTATAAATATGCATATATAAATAAATACACATATACTTGCACATATAGATTTTCTTTTTAAAAACTATATATATGTATAATATATGAATAACTTAAAAAATATATCATGAACATCTTTCCTGTGAATAGCCTAAATAGTGTCAGGTTTTTTGAAAGATTTTATTTATTTATTTGTCAGAGAGATAGAGAGAGACAGCAAGAGAGCGAACACAAGCAGGGGGAGCGGCAGAGGGAGAAGCAGGCTACCCGCTGAGGAAGGAGCTTGATGCAGGACTTGATCCCAGGACCCTGGGATCATGATCTGAGCTGAAGGCAGAGGCTTTTCTTAACATTTTTGAGTCTTAGTTTATTTTTTGTAAAAGGGGTACAAGAATGATCTTCCCTACTTTATCGAATTGTTGAGTGGATTAAATAAAAGAAGGTAAGTAAAATGCTTAGCAAATGTAATAAGCACTTAATCAATGCTAGCAATAATTATACCTTGTAGGTGCTTAGTAAATATTTGTATAATGAATTTTTATGAATATCTTGCCCAAGGAGATTACTTATTTCTTAGGCATTAAAATATAATCCTTCTCTTCTGACTGTCAGAAATAATCTAATGAATGTAATTAAAAATGAAAAATGTAGTCTAAAATGGACAATAATAATTTCTAGCTTTAAGTTGGTATATCACTTAGGGTCACAGCAGAAAACAGATGACATACTCAAACTGGTGTAATTCCAGAAGAGTTTATTTACAGTGGGATTCTTTACAGAAGTGTGAGTGGAATTCCAAGGAAGAGGAGGAGTATAACCCAGGCTTAGTGGCACTGGCTGTTCCTTCCAGACCAGAAGGAACATAGAGAGGGAGCAGTTACTGGACCCCAGAAGGAGAGAATCTTATAGTTGGCTACCTTGAGAGGAGCAGTAACCTTTTGTTGAAGGGCATAGTCAGCCTAAGGTGGCCTTGCCAAGACTAACCCAGGTTAATAATTACTCTGACCTTCCCATCTTTCCTCAAACCAGAGGGCAAGGAACCCCCTCCACACAGGGTGGTACATTCAGATCAACTTCCTGGGCAGAGAGCAGGGTGGACAAAATAAAGAGTGGATCTGGAGGAGCAAAAGGGAGATAAGTGGCACCATATCAGAATAAGTGGCACCATATCAGAATAAGTTATTAGCATACCTGTAGTGTTGTAACTATAAAGCCAGAGATTGGTGCAGAATCCAACTGGATGTCACTTAGGTATAAGCAATGTGACTCTCCCATATTGATAGAATGTGAAAAGAATTCTGAATAGTTTCAGGCAATAAGTAGCTTTATTGAATATGTTGGTAAATCAAATAGTGAAACAACCTAGGTAAAAGATTAGGGGCTCCAACCACACTAAGAATTAAGTAAATGTGTAACCTGAGTTCAAGTGACAGGGGTAGTGAGACGACCCTATTTGGTGGGCATGGACTTGGAATTCCTATTGGCACCACAACCGTAAAAGAGGGCTCTGCTTCTCCCTCCAGGTCATTCAGAAGATGATCCTGGAAGTCTGTCCTTCCAGACTTTACCCTCACAACCAATCTAGAAGGCACCCCCAAATTGCTTGTATCGGTAATCTCAGAGTACTTAGAGGTTCCTTAATTGTTCCCCTGGATGTGACTTTAGTTCCTCAAAGATTTAGAATTAAGTGTAGAAATGATTAAGTAAATCAAACCCACCTAGTCGTACTAGTTTCCAGTTAGATTTGAAAATATAACACATTTACAAACATGTGTATGCCATGTTTATAATGAAGTATTTAGGAGATATAATTTGTACTATCAGATTTGGTTTGTGGCCTGTTAGATGAGCTTTGTGATCCTAATCTTTTTT